AGGACCACTTCCCTGGGAAGTTGGTTCCAGATTTTGGCCACCCTAACTGTAAAATATTGCCTTCTGATCTCTAACCTAAACCTATTCTCCATCAGCTTGTGACCACTGTTCCTTGTCACCCCAGGTGGTGCTGGGGAGAAAAGGGCTCTACCTATTTGCTGTTGATCTCCCCTGATGAGTTTGTAGGCAGCCACCAGGTCCCCCCTCAGCCTCCTCTTGCTGAAGATGAACAGGTTCAGGTCCCTCAGTCTCTCCTTGTAGGGCCTGTCCTGCTGCCCTCTCACCAAGCGAGTGGCCCTCCTCTGAACCCTCTCCAGGCTGGCCACATTCCTTCTGAAGTGCGGTGCCCAGTACTGGGTGCAGTACTCCAACTGCGGCCTGACCAAAGTCGCATAGAGGGGGAAGATCACCTCCCTGGACATTGCATACACTTTGTTTTGACACAGATGAGTCAGTGTTTCCATTGCATCAGTTACAACAAAGGTCTTTTATGGCAGGGTAAGAGCTTTAGGGAAAATGCTACTACAGATATCATGCTGAAGTATGAAGATATGAGGCATTCCCAGTGTAGTTAGAAAGCATCCATTATATCAGACTACTTACCTTCCCAATCGGTAACCATGTCCAGAAAATGGGTGAAATACTGGCTTCCTTGAAATATACACCTCATCTTTCTTATCTTCTACCTTCACATCCACCTCCTCCTCATCAAAATTTTTTTGCAACTCAAAAGGCAACTCCCTTAAAAATCAAGAGTCAAGATTAAAATAAAATTATTGGTTTAATCTTAAAATTTAAACACATACACAACCCTGACTAATCTAGGTGAGTTTATCCACCCAAAAGGTATTAGCGATATGTCACTAACACCCATACAACATAATCTGTAAATCAAACTAATGAGTTGGGGACCCACTGCAGATTACTGAGTTGCAAATTAATTAGAAGCGAACAGTAAAAATCAGAGAAAGATACCACTACAGCATGACAGATTTTTTGATAAAGGGATTATACCCATATTTTCATTGCAAAATTGTTTATTAAAGAGGAGACTGAAAATTGGCTCTGCTGTAGCCTTTGCAAACATAATTTAAGGGCGTCTTTTAATATCCAAAATGGCACCAGTATCCAAACTCTTTAGTAGAATACACACTGATTGGATTGGGTCTGTACTCAAGTAGAGCAAGATCAGTTTCCTGGTTTAAAAGTTCTTTGGCAAAAGGACTCAACTGTGTGATTGTGACTGTGCCTTTAGTGTCTGGTTTACAGAGAAACTATATGGTGCTGCCAAAACGGACAGCAATCATCTGAAAAATTGTCCCCCCATAAAAATGGTCATCCCTGTAACTATTTCGCTTGGGGAATTGGGAGGAGTGGGGAGAAGAGGAGGAGAAGGGGGATGGAGGGAAGAATCTTTTCTTTAGGAGTGTGGGCCAATGCTCACACTAAATAGCTGGGAAAGAATGCTACTTTTATGGACAAGGTGCTCATTATAATTATGGTCAGGAGCAAATGCTGGTAAGTGCCATTCACAGAGAAAAATGTTTTCATTAATATGCTGTAAAATTAAGTACTATTAACCTAGTAAGATTTGACACAGCTTGAAAGGATGATTTATCATTTTAAATGCAATGGCTTAATGAGTTCATGCAGCTGTAAAAACAGTTACTTTTGTTTAGCTTTCACTCAAACGGAACATTTATATCACAGAAGTGACTGACAGAAAGGTTACCTAGCACTTGCTGAAGGAGGCATAGCAGCAGCTCCTCATGGGGCCTCAGACTCTTTCAGTGAGCAGAGAAGACCACACTTTAACTGTAGCTAAGGATGCCCTCAATGCAATCTTTCTTTGGAGAGCATTTCAGCTGTAGCTACTACTAAGGCACTGTGCCTTCCTTATTATAACTTTAGGGTACAATCATCAAAATGGACTTTTAGTCCATCTCTGAGTGTATAACCATTTGCTCTAAAAGGCTACTCTGCCTACTGGACATGCCTTCCTACAGTGTGAATAGCTATTTTAATGACAACTGCAGCATAACTTCATATAGGTCTATTTTAAGGTACAAGCAAAGCAGCTGCTATACCAGTTCATATAGCATTATGAATTTAAGCAAAGCACAGTACAAAGCGTATTAACACCCAAAGCTCACTTGCCCTTTTTTAATTGAATCCAAGAACTGCTGGTTTGCCACATCTGTGTAGCTCCTGAGATTACCATCATTTACTGTGAATCCATTTTTCCATAGCTTAATAATGATGTCAGCCTGCAAAGTAAGAATAATGAATGCCATCTCTTCAACAATGAAGTAATGGGAAAACACAACTCAACATACTAACATTTCCTTATCATTTCAGGTCATCTACTCAAACCAAAATTATGCTGGTAGAGGGCTTGGGTCAATCCCAGTAAACAGGACAGTAACAACATGGGACAAGTGACATTTTTAATTTCTAAATATCTTCTGTCATCAGAAATATGCTTGAGACAAACCTCTGAGCCCAAAACAATTGAAAAGCAGAGATGTCTATGTTAAACTGTTTACAAGAAGAATTTAAGACACAATCACCCTAGTTACCCTCTTGCTCCTACCACTCCACATGATGGGTACCAGAGTTTTTCAACTGATCTCTTTGAAGTACTTGATGTGGAATCGAAAGCTCAACACCAGTGGAGGCCAACATTTTTGGAAGGCACGCCACAAGTTACCCTTGCACCTTGCTCAACTGTCACTCTGGTCCCCTTCCCCCACTGCCTGATCCGGTGCTTTACTTTCTATTTCCTGCCCTATATTCCTCTGCGTTGCCTGTCCTGATCTGTCACGTACGATACACCGAGGCTGCCCATGTCATCTATGGCATGCTGCCCATGTCTCCTAAGCCGCCCCGGCTTTACACTATTCCTGAATCTCCTTTGTGACTTTTAAAGGGCGCAGCTGAAGGATATAGGGTGCAGGACTAGGAACAGAGCTCAGAACGCTTGCTCCGTAATATACACTTAGGTCTGCTAGCTGTAAAGCATGTTCAGTATTTATGTTCTTCCAGAAAGGGATAGTGCAGTTGCTTGCCAAGTCCTATATATAAACAGGCAAGTAAATAGAAGGATTACTCAGCAGTAACTGTAGTTTGAATTATACCACAAGCTATTCCAGACCCTGATCAATTTAAAGATATTTTGACGCTTGCACCCATCTCACACAAATGTAGAAGGTATGTGTAGATGTAGTTCAGTTTACTTAACAGAGGCTCTTCCTAGAGCCCAATTGTCAGGAGAGGCTAAGCTACCCAAAACTAGATGCCGAAGGAAAAAACACAGACCAGTGAATTAACCAGTTTAGACAGAAGTCAGACGACTTCAGATGGAGGTTTAGAATACAGGTGTCAATGTATTCATGCAAAACAGTCAGCCCCCAGGACCTGAATCTTCCCAACAGTCCTGGCAGATATCATAACATCCAGGAATACAATCTTTAAGGAATCTTGTGTACAACTCCAGTAGAGCAATTCAAGTGATTACACTACAATCCAGACATGCAAGTTTAGGGAGTTAAGATTCATATGTATTGTTATATAAGTGACCAATGGAGGGAGACTGGAGAGGTGAACATGGCTGGAGCTAAATGGATGCTTTTCAATCTCTTCTGCACTAGGAATCTTCAAACCATTTCATCGTACGGGAACGGCAGGAGATTGTTCATGTTTACAAGACTGCTAGATAAAGAAACCGTACTCTATCCCTGAAACTCTGAGTACCAGAACTAACATGTCCAGTTGAGAGTTAAATTAAACTAAAAAGTTTTATCCTGCCTATTCTGGAGAATTTATTAAGTAAGGGTATAAGACAGAACGTACATAAGCCTTTGACTCAAGACATTAAGTGTGTATTAGGAAGCAGCTCCTCTAGTGAACTAGTTCAGAGGTTGGTAACCAACAATCCACAGAGTGGATCTGGCCTCCAGGGTGCACCCACACCCCAGCCAGGAGGTGGGTAGGAGCAGATAGGACCGAGTGCCAGCTCACCTCAGACCCAAGCTGGGCTGCTCTGACTCGCCGCCTAAAAATGTTGCCGACTGACTGCTGACCTGGTTTATACTACCCTGCAGATTGTGGAGATGCACGCAAAAATTTAAGATCAGATGATAAATGAAAGGAGTAAGTTTACATAATCTAGAAGATATTTAAAACATCTCCAAAACATGTCTGAATATTTCAGGTATACTTAAACTATCAAACTTTTAGATTTTTCACTATCAACTGAAACCTTTCCAACTTCAACAGGACTAGAAGAATTTGGCCCCAAGTCTAATAATATAACCAGGTTTCCACGAAGGTAGTTAATCCTCCAAATCTGAGTACTGGAATTACATGGTCACAATTTGGGCAGTTGTCCAAACACACAAAATATTAAGTGCAGAATCAACTTCTAGCTGAAAACTGATGTGAACATGTATTAGGTTTTGCATGAAGTTAGAAGTGCCCACCACTTATGTCCTTTGCAAAGGCTGGCTTGTTATGTAAACAAATATTTTAGAAGCCGAGCAAGGAGCAGCTTCTGTTACTGATTAGCTCCGTGTATAAGCAACGTATGCGCTGTACCTGAAGAGAATAAGAGCACTTAGTCTGACTGGACTCCTTCAAAAGGATTTTACACGTTCAGGTACCAATTCAGACTGAGAATTTCACAACTCAAGAAAATCATGGCACAGTGAGCTGGAGTGTAGACTTGCAATATTGAATTGTTACAGTGCTATAAATTCACACTACGTCTTACTGCATATAGGTTTTCCCCTATAGGCAAGCACCAAACATTTACTACTCAACTTCTTTAAGAATGGCATCTCTGATCTTCCTTCCTCCAAGTTTCTCCTTAGAATTCACTGGAATAGGGCAAGGCTGCTATGGATCAGCTTCAACTCTTCCTGTACACACTCTCGCATACCCCAAAAAGCAGCTGAAGAGTGGTAAGAGTGGGACGGGCAAAATACAACCCATGGGACAGATCCGGCCCACCAAGCCATTCTATCCAGCCCAGGGGGGGGCCTAAAAAATTTAGAAAATTAATTATCTGCACATGACTGCTCGTCAAAGATGATGAGGCGCCAGCAGCAGCAGCACCCAGGAGAAGCCAGCGACAGGACCCAGCGGCTGAGCAGCAAAGCCTGCCCGGCACTGCCCCCCATCGCCCAACAGAAAGCCTCTGCAGCTTCTGGCCTGGCAACACTTTGGCTGTTATCTGCGCTCCCTTCATCTGAGTGGAAATTCAGATAAAATCAGACAGAGGGAGGGGGTGGAAACCGCCGCAATCAGCCCATGCCAAGCTGGGCTGGTACCATGCTGCACCGTGTGGTCCCAGCCATGCAGCCGGGAACCGCGTGGTGCTGGCTGGGGTGGGCTGGAATGGTGACCATGCAGGAGGTAAAGTAGGGAAGTGGTGGGGGAGTGGCAGCAGCATGCAGGAGCATGGAGCCCATGCCAGTGCCCCAGGCCCAGCAGGGACCCAGGACGGGATGGCAGGAGCATGGAACCTGAGTGTGGGGTCTGCCTGGCTGCATCACGCAAGGCTCACATGCAGTCCACAAGCTGCACACAATGGAGCCAGCAGCCTAGCCCCGCTCACTGCTATGCACAGGTCATGGGGAATAGCGGGGAGCTCGGCGCTGTGGAGCTGGGCCGGCTCCACCCCTCTCCTTGTCACCGCAGCTGAGCCCCATGACCTGCACCGCCAGCTTCATCGCACAGGGGTTGGTGGGGCTGGCCCTGCTTGCTGCCACCACAGGCAGCTCCAGGGACTCCGACACTCCAAGGACTCTGAGGACCCCCTACACACACACACGCTCTACCCACTATACTCCACACCCTCCCACATACCCCACCCCAACCACATACCCACACCCGACACACTCCCCCCATACATCACCTTACCTCCACCAACACACAAAATACAAGAGTAGGACTGTATTTTAAGCTATTATGCAATTGCTTTTAGACACACTATGCAAGCACACATAAAATCGGGACAAATATATTTTTAAATAAAATTAAAAGAAGTTATAGTAGTTTTTTTATTTTTAAGTATATGCTTTTTTTTCAGTTTCAAGAGGGGAGCACCCTCCCTCTCAAAAGGAGCACTTCCGGGTCAAGGGGAGGGTCTTCCGGTGGCAAAGGTCAGGGGTTAGAGTTGGGACTTCTGGTCCCAAGATAGCAAGCAAGGGTGGGGCACCCATCAAGGGGAAGGGCTACCCTTGCGGCCCTCAACAACTCACCTAAAACTCATTAAGCGGCTGAAATAATTGCCTACTCCTGGGTAAGACCCTACTCCCATCATGGTAATTTGTTCACATGCCACTAGCCCCTATTCTGCAAGACCTTTATTCCTGACCCAACCCAATCTCCAGAAAGTGATAAAAACGGGGTCACGAGACAACAAGGCTCTTAGAGCCAGACTGGTGTCAAGCATCCTACTGTGCATTTCCTTAGTCATATAGGCCTTGTCTACATACAGAAGTTGTGCACATTTAAATGAGTTTAGACATTCATAGTTTCATAGTTAGTTCTATTAGGGTCGGAAGGGACCTAATAGATCTTCTAGCCCGACCCCCCGCCAGGGCGGGAGAACAACAAAAGAACCCTAAACAAAAAACGGGACTCAAATGAGTCCAGCCAGGTAGGTATCCAGCCTCTTCTTAAAGATCCCCAGGGTAGGGGCCAGCACCACCTCCCTTGGAAGTTGGTTCCAGCTCCTAGCCGCCCTAACTGTGAAGTAGTTTTTTCGGATGTCCAATCTGTACCTCCTCTCCATCAACTTGTGCCCATTACTCCTTGTTATGCCAGCGGGGGCTAGGGGAAACAGCGTCTCCCCCAAACCCTTCTGGTTCCCCCTAGTGAGTTTATAGACGGTCACCAGGTCCCCCCTCAGCCTTCTCTTGTGGAGGCTGAATAGGTTCAGGTCCAGCAGTCTCTCACTGTAGGGTCTGCCCTGTTGTCCCCGGATCATGCGGGTGGCCCTCCTCTGGACCCTCTCCATGTTGTCCACATCCCTCCTGAAATGGGGCGCACAGAACTGGACACAATACTCCAGCTGCGGCCTGACCAGCGTCGCATAGAGGGGGAGGATCCCCTCCCTGGCTCTACTCGAGATGCACCTGTGGATGCACGATAAGGTCCGGTTAGCCCTGCCAACCATGACCTCGCATTGTCGGCCCATGTTCATCTTGGAGTCAATAATGACACCAAGATCCCTTTCCGCCTCCGTGCTCTCAAGTAGGGAGTTCCCCATCGTATAAGTGTGCTGCTGGTTCCTACTACCCAAGTGCAGCACCCTGCACTTGTCCGTATTGAAACACATCCTGTTCCTGTTTGCCCACCCCTGTAACCTATCCAGATCCTTCTGCAATCTCTCTCTCCCTGCTAGCGTGCTCACCTCCCCCCAAATTTTGGTGTCATCAGCGAATTTAAACAGGTTGCTTTCCACCCCAACAACAAGATCACTGATGAAGAAATTGAACAGCGCAGGCCCCAGGACCGAGCCCTGGGGGACTCCACTACCCACCTCCCCCCAAGTCGAGTATGATCCATCCACCACCACCCTCTGAGTGCGACCCTTCAGCCAATCTGCAATCCATCTGACTGTGTAGGCATCCATGCCACAGTCGCCTAGTTTATTAATTAGGATGGGGTGAGAGACGGTGTCAAAGGCCTTGCTAAAGTCCAGAAAGACTACATCCACCGCGACACCTGTGTCCATGGCCTTTGTGACCTGATCATAAAAGGCAATCAGGTTGGTCTGACATGATCTCCCCCTAATAAATCCATGCTGATTGCCCCTGAGCATCATTTCTGATGCCGGCCCATCACAAATGTGCTCCTTGACATTAGATTAGCTGAACTGAAGTAAATCCTTCACGTGAGTACACATCATTTAATTTGACTGTCCTGTACTGCCATAACTTACATTGCTTCTTAAATCAGTGTCCAAAACATTTAAGTGGCTGAAACAGTATCAATTTAGTTTTGTTTTGAATCACTAACTATATCATAACTGCAACTATTATTAAATGAATACTCTGATTTTAAAAGTAGTAAGATTTCTGTGCTATTCTCATCAAGATTGTTGTGTTCTGTCAGCTAATGTACTGAGTTTATCTTATGTCCCAATTACATATAATTTGGGACAGAAAGACATTATAGCACTAAATCTTGACTCGATTAATCGAGTGTGCTAGCAATTACCACGATCCAGGAGACTCTAGCATCACATGTATCAAAGTTCCCACACTGAAAAATGGCGATGGGGGCGCTCCAACCCAAGTTCTTTGAACGAGCTTAAGTTAAAGTACACCCGCCGCCATTCCTCAGTGCGGGGACACTGACACACATGATGCCCAATTAGAGCAGCTCTCGGAGGCACTCTAATTAAAGTCCCACCCCCCAGAGCACATCTATAAATGCCCTATGGGACTAATGAAAACACCAGTAATTACGCTTTCATGCCCACAATGAAGATATGCGAATGTACAAGCAGGGGCACAGATGTTAGTCTCCTTTCCCCAGGTATCTGCAGGTAGTAGCTTGTTTGGCTTTTTGCAGCTCATAGCCAGGACAGAGCACCTGGCTTCACTTAAACCAATGCTTTGGCAAACGAATTCAAGTACAGTCATTTTCCCCATCACTTACCTGTTCGTTCACTTTGGCTGGCGGCATGCATATAGCTCCTACCTTCCGAGCTTCTTCAAAAAGGTTATCGACAAAACATTTGTGGCTCTGTTCTGTACCATTAAGCTGATCCTCGGCTCCTTGCTTACACATCCTGCATAATAAAAAGAAATCAGAAAGCCTCACTTAAGCTAGAGGTGCACTGATAAAGATTTTCTTGGCCAATACCGATAGCCAACTATTCACCAGGCATATCAGCTTCACTGATCCGATAACAAATGATACTGATCCAATAACAAATTTACAGGACAGCAGCCAGGCATCATGGAGAGCAGCACCCTGCATTTAAATCTTTGAAGGGGAAGGGGCAGGCCAAGGACCCCATGGTGAGAGAGGGAGAGGGGCAGGGGCTGCGGCCAGGGGTGCTGCTCAGCCAGGGCGGTGAATGGGACTCCAGGGAGGGGATTGAGACAGAGCCGTGGGCATCCTGGCACTTAAAAATGATCGCAGAGGTGCTTGAACTAAAGCTCATCAAACGAGCTTCGATTCAAGCGCTGCCACTACTTTTCAGCATGGGGAAGCTTCTAACTAGAGCCAAATGGGGCGAGGGCAGATGTGGGCCGCCCACTGCATGCTTGGGGCTCTCCGCCCTGCTGCCTTTGCCCCGGGAGCTGCACACTGGCTGTGCATCCCCTGCCCATCCAGCAGCAAGTTGTGCCTCCCACCGCTGGACAGGCAGGGGATGCACATCCAGCACACGGCTCCCGGGGCAAAGGCAACAAAGACCCCAAGTCCGCAGGAGGCAGCCTGTATCTGCCCTCGCCCTGCGCACAAATCTGGAGGAGTCACGTGTGCCCCATACCTCCTCTGGAGGTATGTGCAGCAGCAGGGAACGCCCCCCACCCCCACCCCGTGGACAACCCACCTGCAGCTCTGTCCCACTCCCAGCCCTGGGTCCCACTCACTGCCCTGGCTGAACAGCACCCCCAGGCCCTGCCCCATGCCCTCCCTCACCGTGGTGGCCTTGATCTACCCAGCCACCCATGCCCCTTCCCCTCCACGGACTTACCTGCAGGGCACTGCTTTCCACACTGCCCGGTTGCATTCTTGGCCACATGCGTACTGTCGCTGCATGCACATGTGGCATCTGGGGCCCTGGCCAGAAGGCACATTATATTTATCAGTACGTTATCAGCTACACTAGCCAAAAAAAGCTGATAGCCCATAACGTTAATTTTCCTTTTATTGGTGTTGATCCGATATGACATTGATATATCGGTGCACCTCTAACTTAAGCTTATATGTTATGTGTCCTTTAGTTAGCCAGGTCCAAGAAGTCTGCTCCTCTACTACCCCCAGTTTGCACAGTAATTTGCTACAAAACTAGTCTGAACTTTGAAACATTCCTTATTCATTAAAATATTCTTTTCACAAAGCAACTCAGGCTCTAGGAGACTCCAGCGATACATGGCTTGTGAAGTGCACATAAGAGTAAAAAAGCATTCCATTCATCTGTACCGAGACTTCTAAAAGTTGACTATCAAATACATCAGGCAGCCTGCTGTCATCCCCTTAGAGTAAACTACTAGACAATTCACAATTTCCATTCAAATGTCCTGCTAACCTATTTTCTGCTCTCTATTGTGCTAGATTTAATTAAGCCACCCCTGAAATAATGAATGGAGAATGGTGGTTTTTTTGGCTTTTTAAAGACAAGATGGAAAAAGCTACTCACAAAGATGCTTCCACATCATTTAGGTTTTCTGCACTCACATATCCCTGTCATACACTATAAGAGTTGTTAATGAGCTGGATAAACCTAGGGACAGCTCGCTTAGTACTACCCTAGCATACTGAAAGCATGCAACAGAAGGTTTCAACATCATGGCATTAGAACAGCGGATCTCAACCTTTTTAAACTCAAGGCATCCCTCAGAAAATGCCAGCTCTTAGCTCTCATTCATTTCTTGACTATATAGTGCCCATCTTTAAGAAAGGGAAGTAAGAGGATCCAGAACTACAGACTGGTCAGCCTCACATCAGCTCCTGGTGAAATCATGGAGCAGGTCCTCAAGGAATTCATTTCTAAGCACTTGGAGGAGGTGGTAATCACCAAGGGCAAATCATGCCTGATCAACTTGATTGTCTGACTGGCTTGTACGTATGTGGGAAGAACAGTGGATATGCTATACCTTGACTTTAGCAAGGCTTTTGATACAGTCTCCCACAATATTCTTGCAAGCAAGCTAAGAAAGTACAGGTTGGATGAATGGACTAGAAGGTCGACAGAAAACTGGCTGATTCGTTGGGCTCAAAGGGTAATAGTCAATGGCTTGGTGTCTAGTTGGCAGCCACTATCAAGTGGATTGCCTCAGGAGTCAGTTCTGAGGCCAGTTTTGTTTAAAGTCTTCATCAACAACCAGGAAAATGGGATGGAGCAAGTTTGCAGATGACACCAAGCTAGGGGGAATAGTAGATATGCTGGAGGGTAGGGCTAGGATGCAGATAAACCTCAACAAATTGGAGGATTGGACCAAAAGAAATCTCATGAGGTTCAGTAAGGACACGTGCAAAGTCCTACACTTTGGACAGAACCATCCCATGCACCAGTATAGGCTGGGGACCCAAGCTAGACTTATTAGTCTGGAAAAGAGAAGACCAAGAGGGGATTAAATAACAGCCTTCAACTACCTGAAGGGTGGTTACAGAGAAGATGGAGATAGACTGTTCTCAGTGGCAGCAGATGACAGAACAAAGAGCAATGGTGTCAGATTGCAGCAAAGGAGATTTAGGTTAGATATTAGGAAAAACTCACTAGGAGGGCAGTAAAACACTGGAACAGGTTCCAACAGCCAGAGAGGCTGTGGAGGTTGTTAAGACCTGGCTAGATAAAAGCCCTGGCTGGTATGATATAGGTAGGGATGGTCCTGCTTAGAGCAGGGGGATGGATTAGATGACCTCCTGAAGTTCCTTCCATCCCTAATTTTCTATGATTCTATGGAAAAACAGTAGATCAATTCTTGTTAGGAAAAAAAATAAATCAGAAAGTCAAGAACAGGTTACAATGTTGTTGACACCTTGGATTCCTAACTGAAAATCATATTGGTGTTTACATGCCTAACAGTGCTAATTTGCATAGCACCCTTAAAAGGATCTAGCAATGCCTTGGTTGAGAATCACTGCTTTAGAGGGAAGATCCACTTGTGGATCAGAAATTGGCTTAAGGACAGAAAACAGAGTGGGTATAAATGATTGGTTATCAGAATGCAAAGACGTAAACAGTAGGGGGATCCTCCCTGCTTCCTCCACCAGGGACAGAATCAGAGAAAATAGTAGAGGTGCACTGATACATCAGTCCCATATCATATCAGCACCAATAAAACGAAAATTGACATGATTGGCAATCAGCCTTTTTTGACTGATGTGGCCGATGATGTCACCAATAAATACCATGTGCATGCGCACAGCTGCAGTACAGCCTGGCTGGTAAGTCTGTTGTGGGGGAGAAGGCATGGGGGGAGGGAAGGGACATGGGGGTGCAGGTCAAGGCCCCCACGGTGAGGGAGGGATTGGGGCTGGCACAGGGGCAGGTACTGTACAAACGGGGTGGGACGTGGGATGCAGGCACGGCCCCTACATCCGCCCATACCTTCTCCCCGCCAAGACTTACCAGCTGGACACTGCTCTCCATGCTGCATATCGGTAATTGGACTGACATCGGCTGATATGACTTGCTAAAAATCAGCCATTTGTATTAGCCAAAAAAATCTCTATTGGTGCACACCTGAAAACTAGGGTTGGAAGGCCCTAAGGAGATAATCTAGTCCAACTCTTTGCTCAAAGCAGGACCATCCCCAACTAGATCAGGATCTGTGCTGGGATCATTGATGTTTAACATATTCATAAGTAATCTAAATGGGGGGAATGGAGGGGCATGAAGGTGAATAATTGACAACATTATTCAAAAACCAAAGTGAACTGTGAAGAGCTACACAAGGATCTTGAAAAACTGAGCAAACAGGCAAAAAAACAATAGATGACATTTAATGTTAAATATTCAATGTGAACAGTTGGCCAAAAAACATCAGTTCAATTCTCAGCAGCAGCTGAAAAGGCAAATAAGAGGTTAGAAATTATAAGAAAGGAAATTGCAAATGAAAGAGGAAGTATCATTATGCCTCTTTATAAATCTACTATACATACACACCTCAAATACTGCATTCAGTTTTGGTCCCTCCCCACCTGAAAAAGGTTATAGAACTATGAAAGGTACAACAGAAGGGCAACAAGGACCTGTGGTACGGAGGGGCTTCCATATGAGGAAAGATTAAATAAGCTAGGACTTGTCATCTTAGCAAAAAAAAGATGACAGGGAGCAGGAACAAGATAAAGGTTTACAAAACAATAAACACATCTTAACTTTCTCTGCACCATTTATTATCTCCCACAATACTAGAAGATATAAAATGAAACTATTGCCTAGTAGGTTTTAAAATAACAAAAAGGAAGTTCTTCTTCACACGGCGAGTAATTAACTTGAGAAACGCACAACCGCAAAATGTTGTGGAGGCTGGCAGCTTAACCCAGTACAAAAGGGGACTGGACTTCTCATGGAGGAAAGGCCTCCATAGTTTTGTGGGCTCTGTATCAGAGCTTCCTAAACCCTGACATTCTTGAATCTACACAGGAAGATTCTGGATATGTCCTTTTTACCCTCCCTTTCAACATCCGCTCTGTAAGACAGGTCAATCAATCCAAGCACAGTATCAAGTGGGCAGATACAAATATGATGACTTTCAATACCGACAAATGTAAGGTACTCCACCTTGGGGGAAAAAACCTGCAGCATGCTTATAGGCTCAGCAGTGCTACGCTTGCTAGCACCATGGCTGAAAGAGACTTGGGTGTCATGATTGACCACAAGATGAACATGAGCCACCAATGCGATGTCGCAGCTGGTAAAGCAAACCAAACTCTGGCTTACATCCATAGATGCTTCTCAAGTAAATCTCTGGATGTCATCCTCCCGCTGTACTCGACCTTGGTGAGGCCGCAGCTGGAGTACTGCATTCAATTCTGGGCTCTACAATTCAGGAAGGATGTGGAGAAGCTCGATAGAGTCTAGAGGAGAGCCACATGCATGATCAGAGGGCAGGAGAATAAGCCTTATGAAAAGAGGCTGAGAGCCACGGAGTCATAGTTTCATAGATGTTAGGGTCAGAAGGGACCTATTAGATCATCAAGTCCAATCCTCTGCCCTGGGCAGGAATGAGTGCTGGGGTCAGATGACCCCAGACAGGTGTATGTCCAATCTCCTTTTAAATACCTCCAAGGAAGGGAACAGCACCACCTCCCTTGGAAGCTTATTCCATATTTTGGCAACCCTCACTGTGAAGAATTTTTTCCTGATGTCCAATCTGAATTTGCTCTCTTCCAGTTTGTGGCCATTATTTCTAATTACCCCAACAGGCACCCTGGTAAACACTGTATCCCCTATTTCTTGCTGCCCCCCCAATGAGTTCGTAGGTAGTAGGAGTCTTCAGCCTGGAAAAGCACAGGCTCACGGGAGATCTGGTGGCAGCCTATAAGTAGACTGGGGTGTGCATCACGATCTGGGGCAGCGCGGGCAATTATTTCGGGCAGAGGGCCGCTTACTGAGTTTTGGCAAGCCATCGAGGGCCGCATGACAGGCAGCCAGGGGCAGATAAATATTAATTTTCTAAATTTTTAGGGGCCCCGCAAGCCGGATAGAATGGCCTGGCGGGCCGCATTCGACCAGCTGCTGCTGCTGCTGCTGCTCAGCCCTGACGGGCGAGCCCAGAGCCAGCACAGGGTGCACAGGGTCACGGATGCACGCGCTGGTCCTTGCCGCTACCACTACATGCAGCCCGGTGGTGCACAGCGGCACGCTGTGGCTGCGCACTGTCGGTGATCATGAGGAGACGCTGCAGGGCACTCAGGCTCTGGGCTGTTGTGGGGCAGGTGCTGACCAGCCCAGGGGTGTGCGTGTGGGGGCTCCCATGCACACCACACATCCTCTCAAACCCTTCCTGCAAACCCCTTAACCACACCCTCCCCACACTCAATCATACACCCCACAAATACCGTGCCACACACATCCCCACAAACCCCCCCATACCCAGCCACCCACAGCTACTCACAAACCCCACACCCACCCACCCATACCCCCAACACCCCTGCACACACTATACAAGGATAAGACTGCATTTTGAGCTATTATGCCATCACTTCTACATATACAGCACAAACACACACAAATCAGGACAAAAAAATTGTTTTTTACATTAAAATTAAAATATCTTATTATGGGTGTTTGATTTTTAGTATGTAATTTGGGTTTTTTTCCCCTTTCCAAGATGATAAACCCTCTTCCCCAAAGGAGTACTTCCAGGGGCAAGGGGATGGACTTCCAGGGGCAAAAGTCCAAGGTTAGGAGTGAGACTTCAGGCCCCAAGATAGCGGCCAGGGGGTGGGGCACCTGTCAAGGTGCGGGGCTACCCATGCAGCCCTCGACAGCTTGCCAAAACTCAGTAAGTGGCCCTTCGCCCAAAATAATTACCCACCCCTGGTTTAGGCTCTCACACAGTACAATGATTTTGCAGCATTTGATAATTTGATCCTTTCCTGTGCATCTCTGCTGAGTTGAATACAAGTCTCTCAGCAAGAGGCATTTCAAACAGCTCAAATGACCCCAATCTTTTGGAGTGAGGAGGAAAGGAAAATCAGTTTTTATATACTCTTCATGTTTGAGCAAAACATTCAGTTTCAACAGTTCAAGAGGTAATTAGGTCTGTTTGTATCAATAAGTATCTTCATACATACTGCTAAAACTTGGCATCAATAAGTATATAAAAAGTTACTTAGCACAGATATAAGATCAATGTCTTTAAACATCACAAAAGAACATACTGACTGAGAGAGAAGGAAAAAATATTATAATCAGACTCTTTTCCCATTTTCACCACAACCTAACAAATATTTTTCTTGAGGCTAATCAAAGAGAATCTAATGTACGAATTTAGGCATTTATTATGCTTTACTTTGAAAGTTAAAATGTTTTATAGGCAAAATAAATAGGATCTCTTCATGTATAACAACAGTCTCCAAAAGATCAAAACAGAAAAACAGGCCTATGAATTTACTTGTAAGCAGAAATCTTTGTGCAGGCACTTGGAAGTCTTCTACTTTGGGAATTTAAGGTTGCAATTATAGGACAAAGAAAAAAAAGCATTCTACAAACCCAGTTTGCCACTTTTGCAAAACCAAGCATATGTGGAGCAGATGGATAAGGAAAACAGATCTCCAGTGCAGAGTCCTTTTATTCTTCAATCGTAAAAGTCCTTCACTGCTTTATCAGACAAGCAGAACAACTCAAGAGATGCAGGACATGAGATGAAAGGAGCAGAAACACTTGCTTTAGCCAACCAGTTAGTAAAGGCAGCTGCATCCTTTAAGAGGAGATGAGAAACAAGCAGAGAGACATGCCTGGTATGGTTTCAATTCATTTCAGCTCTCAGTCTGGGATGCAGGATCCAAAGGAAGCATGCATAATGGCAGCCTGTAAATCAATGTGATTTTTTAAAAAGGTAATTCTTTGCCAGCTTTATAAGTATCAGTAGTGGTGGGGGGGGTTGGCTTTTTTAAAAGGAAATAAGGCAAAAGGCAGGGCAGAACCACACAAGCAATCAAAAGAGCAGGAGAAAAAAAGAACCTGAGCACCTACCACTCTTCGCTTAAAGTTTCGATATTGTCTACTTCTTTCATTCTGATGCTTTGCCTAATTATGGAAAAAAGATTTGTAAGAAATAGGCAAAACCCTTGACCCACTTGGCACTTTTGAAGCCGAGTTGTTTACGTTTTCTGCATCCTTTAAGAGTTGTTCTGTGTTGACAGTTCACTTACACAGGAGTCTACAAAAACTGCTCAAGTCTCCAGATGGCTCTTTGTTTTCCTGCGTCTTCTAATGTGATGACGCATACAATGTGTACCATTTTCAGCCTCACACATTAAAAGGAAGACAACTGTGATTTTTTTGAAACACCCCACCCCCCCAGCTCTCCCCGAAGAATTCAAAAGCTCCATCGTTCTTTTGAAAGCACAGAAAAAAAAATCTATCACTGCCATTTTCATGGATTTGGTTTACATTCTTAGCTTCAGACTCTGGCAGCAGTACTTATCAGATGGTAGTAGAACTGCAATGCCAGTGCAGGCATCCTTTGTAATAGCTCATTGCCAGCCCCGACCTTCACTTTGACAGTGCATAATCCAAAAATGCAGCATCCTTCTAAGTCCTCCCCCAAGGTTCCTCCACTCTCCAAATGGTGCAGTGCCCCTGAAACTGGATATAGCAACTCATGATTCTTGTTCAAATAGGACTAGAGAAAACAAATCCTGGATTTTCAAGTGCTAAACATACTACAGGATTAGTCTGCTGAGTCAATGGGGCTGAAAAGTGCTATACTGATCCTGTTGTGCTCTCTCCTGAGCTCTGCAGGGAATTATTTTAAGCCACAAAAACTACATAAAAAGCACTGAAGACCTGACAAGGGCAGAGGAACTCCGACTTGGCACTTTATTTAAGGGTCTAAATCCTGCCAAGTGCTAGGCACCACCTTTATCGAAGCTACTCAGAAATTTGCAGCAGTCTCCAAATTGCCTCACTATGCATAGGTATTGGAGCAAGCAAAATAGGTAACAGTACCCAGACCACTTCCAAAATAGCTAGACAAAAACCAATGAGACTTAAACTTCTTTTTCCTCTCCAACTGTGCGGGCACAGTATAATCATGTGATATGCACATAGCTTTACTTGTATATTTGAATTCAAAACCTGCCTTTTAAAATAGTTTATATAAAAAAAAAAATCCCCAAGGTAGGTTTACTATACAGAGTTTATGCATCTCCTGGATATTAAAATCTGGCACCCAGATAATTTATCTTTTGTGTTATTACGCTATGCAAAAATTCTAATCTTCTGTTAATTATTTTGTGGATCACCCCCCTTTGCGCACACACATTGATTAGTGCTGTTACTGTCACAACATCTGTCGAGCATTCTCCAAAGACATCATCAGAGTGGTTATAAAACCAGACTGAGACAGAGGCAAGTCTTTAGGCTTAAATTCTGTTTAGAAAAACAAACAGGCCTTGCACACATAAAAGCCCTACACAAACCTAGTCAGCTATTAAAGATACTTTTCTTTATCCAAATACCATAGTACTTTATGGTTAATTTTACTGTTATATTACGGGTAAAATTAAATACAAATTATGCAGCATACCGCTCATGTCAGCTGTCCAAATCTAGTATTAGAAAGATTTAGTGGCATGCAATCTTGCTGGTACAGGAGCCTACACACTTTGCACCTCCGTGTTATATTTTGTCCTCAAGTCATGAATTTGGTTTACATTCTTTGCTTCAGACCTGGCAGCAAGTACTTATCCGACAGTAGCAGAAGAACTGTAATGCCAATGCTTCCCTTCGAAGTCTGTCTCCGAGAAGAGAGATGATCACTACATGTAGCTATAAGTGACGTCTGGTTCAATGAGGCCAGTCAGGCATGAATGAGAAGAACTAAACAAAAAGTTTTAGTGTCTAGTAGGCAAGTCTCTGGAGCCCCTTCAGTATCTCTAACTAACCAGCTGCTACATAACTAGGGGTCCATGTCCCAATTCCCAATTTTTCTAAATTAGGGAGCGTCTCTAAATTAGAGCTTCAATCACTCACGATTATAAAAGTGACAAGCGTGCACTTACACAGGATTTCATTTTTGTTGCATAACCAGCACAAACACACAATTCCATGGCTGTAGGTAAACACATACCCCACGTTTTCCCTTGCTCTAACCTTTCCTGGCATACGTTATACCCACTTATTTCTCAAGACATCAAACTTGCAATATGATCTGAGGACACACACTTACAGGACCAAGAAATGTCTTTAGCACAGGCACTTGTCATATATATTCTTATACAGCACTTTCATTAGTTAGGACGCAAGTGGAAACAATATTAAGGTTTACTCCGCTGCTTCAAAAGCTAGTACTATTACCTAGAGCCCAGGGGGCAGTTATACCATTTTTCTCCCTGTACAAAGAAAAGCATAAACACTGCCAAATACCACTGTCAGAATTAAACTTTTCAGAGAATAAACTCTTTGGAGCAGCAACTATTATTTCCTATATAAAGTATTATCATAGGGTCTAGGAGTCTTGATCATGGACCAAGACGGCTGAGTGTTTAGGTGCTAGTTCCTAGATTTGGTTTTGCCACTCTGAGCCTTTCTGGATAAAGTTTAAATCTAAATATTAATAGTAATAGCAATAAATACACTACAGGAACAGACAGGAGAAGTCTCATCCAAATGGCTACAATCTAGACAAATGGGAAGGAACAAGAGGCAAGAAAGCAAGTGCTTGCCTGACCTAAAGCAGCTTTAGCCTTGCTGAGATCTGTAGGCTTATAAATAAGGTGTTCAATTCATCCAAAACTAGAACCAAGCCTGCAAATGTTTTCAATTTCCCATAAAGCCTTTTTGGTCTGCCCGGGCATTCCCTTTACTTCCCCACAGCCTGAGCGTGGTGAAAAAGGAAGTAAAAAAAACAAAAACAAAACCCTTCGTGTTTTTTTAAAATTTACTAACCCCCTCTCAACCAAAGACAAAGACTTGGTCAAAAAACCACTGCAAAAACTTGCTCTGACCAACTCTAGAGCAACACATACCAGGCCTCCTGCCCTCCCCATGCCTCCTCGAAGCTGCAGCCGCTTACCCTCACCAGCACTTCAAATCCCAAGCGGATCCCCGCCTGCTTTTGATGGCTCAGGCGCCAGGCCGAAAACATGCCGGACTCCTTGCACACCAGCAGCCGTGTGACGTGGCCATATCCCGGCCTCTGCACATCTGGCTGCGACCCTCCTTTCCGAACGAGCCCGCTGGAGCCTTTCGCTGCTGTTCACGGTCACCCACACGTCACACGTGTCACACACAGACACAGCACAGAGACACAGACGTCACACAGACACACGTCACAGATGTCACACAGACAGACACAGGGATGCAAACAGACATAGACACACACACGTCACACAAACGACACCTCACACACACACACAGACAGACACAGGGATGCACGCACAGACGTCACACACAGACGTAGACACACAATTACACACACACACGGCACACACAGGTGTAGACACACAATGACACACAGACATAGACACATGCACGTCACACGCAGGCACGCACGTCACACACAGACAGACGCACACATGTCGCACACACCCCTCCCCTTGGGGCAGCGCAGGCGAGAAGCCCAGGCCGGCCCGCGCCTCCCAGCCGCCGGCCCGGCCCGGCCCGTGCCCGGGGCCCCGTACCTGGCAG